TATCACTTTCAATGCCTTCTCTTCCTAATAACTAATCACAAAGCCAAATTAAGTTCTAATGTATGTATTGAATGGCAGAGTATGGCATGGGAGGCCAAGTTTCCATCCTTGGAGATGTTTATAGTTTTGGAATACTATTGCTAGAAATGTTCACAGGAAGACGACCTACAGATGACATGTTCAAAGATGGTTTGAGCATTCACCAGTTCACTGCCATGGCGATGCCTGACCATGCCATGGACATAGTTGACCCACTGCTGCTCGTTGAATGTGAAGATGCAGATGTTGATGGAAGCCCAATTCAAGCAAGAAGGTTGGTGGAATGCTCAGTTTCAGTGATGCAAATTGGACTCTCATGCTCTGCCACATCACCGTCAGAGCGAATGCTTATGGGTGCTGTTGTGAACAAATTAAAGACAATTAGAGATTCATATCTCAAATTAAGAGGTAGAGGCTAGAAATATAAATGTGATAGTTCCATTCTCCTAGACCTCGTGGTCCAAGAAAATTATGATCACTCACGGTTCGATCATCATCCAACGGTGGAGGACATAAGATCGAATGGTGGGAGACCACACTTGAACCTTGTGGTCTAGGATAACGGAATTGATAAATGTGAGGTCAAGTTTGTTAAATAATTAGCCTCGTATCGTCTGTGTGCAAGAAATCATTTGAATAAGGATATTATACATATCGAATTTGTGTGAGATTATGTAAGGTTGAACTCAACATTTTATATAGTAGAATAAGGAAAGGATGTTTGAATCCTGTTTCTTCCCGTACTTGTTTGTTAAGGAAAGAATGTAACTTAATCAATCGGTAGTTTTTTTAGCTTAATTGGTCTTATTAGTCTCAAATATCAATCATATTGTTAACGGTTTATTTTCAATGGCAGTCTATGACTCCTTTATCTTTATTCCAGTTCACTGCTGCACTTCTCCCACCATGTCATTTGAATGTCTCACAGGTTTCACGTTACCAATCCGCATGCTAATATAGGTAGACAAACAAATGTTTTCGCCTTCATGAACCGAAGATGGTTGATGTTAAAAGGTTTCCCTTTTAGATGTTTGAGTCAAAATCTTAAAGTAGCATATCATTTCACAGATATATTTGTAATATAGATCTGATTGCAAAATATTCTTCTACACATCGTAACATTAAGAAATTAAAATTATGCATGCTTGTAATTATTAGCAATATAGGACTTGTAACGTTAAGAAATTAAAATTATGTATGCTTGTAATTATTAGCAAAAGGACTTGGGATTAAAAGAAAGAATGGAATACCCATTCCTGCATGAGGACTGAACACATTTCTACTCCTGAGTTGAATCAAGTAAATAAAAACACGGCCTCATAAAAAGACATCGTATACCATGCAAATTCCTAAAGTGCCGAATAACGACATGATACTACATAATCCTATTCTCATTTCATCATGTCTCATAGCAATTCTTCTGACAAAGGGAACCAACAAAACAGGATTACTGGAGAACGCGCATCAAAATTTGACCATTCTGACAGAAGCCTTTGTTCTTCGCAAGGAATGCATTCATTGCCTCGGTTTGAGACGGAAAGCCAACAGTTGCAAATTTAGAGGGTTCTGGGAAAGACCTGCAACATAGTTTCAAAAAATAAAATAAAAATCAAGTAGGCTAAAAGTATTTCGATGTAAAAATCAAGTATACTTGTATATATATGGAGTGGATCCGTGGCACCACAAAAAACACACAAGTTTTGACACAAGTCTTAGACCATTAGATGTACACATTTTTAATGGTTTAGATACAATCTAATTACTCCAATTAATTTTATTTATTCAAATAATTATGAATTGGGAATAAAATTCTAAAAACCTAATAAGATTTTTATATTCTCCTTCCTATCTCATTAATTGTTTTTCATTAATTTCTCGTTTCTCCATTGACTCTTTCTTCTCCCTCTTCATCATTCATCCTATGTACAGATATTTCCCCTCTTTCTTCTCCATTCATCCTCCCATGGGCATGCTATCTTATTTTCTAATTTTTTTTCGTTTTGTTTTTAAATTTCTTCTCCATCTTGGTGATCGAATCTTTCTGCACCAGCTAAATTTTCACACCCGATTCCTTATCTCCCTTGAAATGTTTTGAAAACATACGGAATTGCAGTCCATATAAAATGTTGCACAATGCAGCTAACTAGCAACAGATTAATGCGTCCAGGAATCATCCATTTATTAAAGAAATAATTGAAATTGTTGCAGCCTATAAGCCTCATGCATCCCACGATATTAATTATTTGATGTAAAATATATGGCCACATTAACCCCTTGAGATTTTAGAAAATTTAAAATTCAACTAAAATGTAAATTCAAATAATATGATGCCAAGTTTTAGGTTCATTACCTAACCTTCAGAAAATAGACATTGTGAACGAAGTATTCATTCTTTTAAAATTCAAATTATTCAATTATATATGTTTTGCTACTGAAGTTGGGTTCATGCCCTTATGGCTAGTGCAATGAGAAGAAAGAGTGAGCGAAAAATATGCAGATGACGGAAAGATAGAAACAAAAGAAAGATAGTAGTCAAGTTCAGAAAAGAAGAAAGAGAGCAGGGTAGAATAATTAATTAATTTTAAAAAAAACCTAATGCAAAACTATTTAAATAAAAGAAATTAATTGGACTAATTAGATTACATCTCAACCATTAAATGTGGACAAATCTAATGGTCTAAGATTTGTGTCAAATCTTGTGTAAAAAATATGGTGCCACAGATCCGCCCCCTATATATATAAGCATGTTTCATTTGCAAGCCATTCAGCTTACCTGAAAATTATCTGGAGGGAAGATGAATCATATTCACAACCAGACAAAAACCGTTCTACATCTTATGGAGCCGCAGTTTGCACTAGTAGAAAAACATGTTTGCGCGACAGAATCTTGCGCGACGCACAAAATTCCGTCGCGCAAAGTATGTTTGCGCGACCTAAAAGACAAGGCGTTGCGCAAACAGCCTTTGCGCGACGGTACTTTGCGCGACAAAAGTCTAGCGTCGCGCAAAACCTCTTTGCGCGACCCAGGAACTTGTGCGTCACGCAAAACACTTTGCATGACGCCAGCCTTCGTCGCGCAAAGTACCGTTGCACAAACTCCGTTTGCGCGACGTTTTGTACGTCGCGCAATATCTTGGCGCCAAACATAGAATGTTTTACCGCTTTTTTGCCAACTTTGCGCGACGCATGTGCACATGCGTCGCGCAAAGTTGTTTTGCGCGACGTACATACACATGCGTCGCGCAAAGTGGACTTTGCGCGACGTACGTGCACATGCATCGCGCAAAGTTGACTTTGCGCGACGTACGTGCATGCGTTGCGCAAAGTTGTTTTGCGCGACGTACGTACACATGCGTCGCGCAAAGTGGACTTTGCGCGACGTACGTGCACATGCATCGCGCAAAGTTGACTTTGCGCGACGTACGTGCACATGCGTCGCGCAAAGTTGTTTTGCGCGACGTACGTACACATGCGTCGCGCAAAGTGGACTTTGCGCGACGTACGTGCACATGCATCGCGCAAAACAACTTTGCGCGACGTACATACACATGTGCAAGGAGTGTATCAAAGTGAGTCAAATTTGTATTCATATAGGGTCAAGGAGTGTAGTTATAAAAAATCATCAAAATCGGAGTTAAAATAACCGTTAAATCGTGATTTTTCGTTTATAACCGTTGAAAAGCTTTGTCCCGTTACTTGCTCTATGAATGTTTTTTTTTTGTGATTTTTTGCTGATGTGATCTCCAAGCATATACAAACAATTTTGACGGTTTGGATCGTTGAAATTAGTTTTGGAGAATTCGTAAAACGATAGATTGACTAACACTTAGAGTTTATTTTATACTTTCATTAAGTATAACATAAGATTTTGTGGTATCCACTTGTGTAAATATTTTAAATTGAAGATCGAATTCATTCATTGTATTCATATAGGGTCAAGGAGTGTAGTTATAAAAAATCATCAAAATCGGAGTTAAAATAACCGTTAAATCGTGATTTTTCGTTTATAACCGTTGAAAAGCTTTGTCCCGTTACTTGATCTCTGAATGTTTTTTTTTTGTGATTTTTTGCTGATGTGATCTCCAAGCATATACAAACAATTTTGACGGTTTGGATCGTTGAAATTAGTTTTGGAGAATTCGTTAAACGATAAATTGACTAACACTTAGAGTTTATTTTATACTTTCATTAAGTATAACATAAGATTTTGTGGTATCCACTTGTGTAAATATTTTAAATTGAAGATCGAATTCATTCATTGTATTCATATAGGGTCTAGGAGTGTAGTTATAAAAAATCATCAAAATCGGAGTTAAAATAACCGTTAAATCGTGATTTTTCGTTTATAACCGTTGAAAAGCTTTGTCCCGTTACTTGATCTCTGAATGTTTTTTTTTTGTGATTTTTTGCTGATGTGATCTCCAAGCATATACAAACAATTTTGACGGTTTGGATCGTTGAAATTAGTTTTGGAGAATTCGTTAAACGATAGATTGACTAACACTTAGAGTTTATTTTATACTTTCATTAAGTATAACATAAGATTTTGTGGTATCCACTTGTGTAAATATTTTAAATTGAAGATCGAATTCATTTATTGTATTCATTTGTTAGAAAAATATATTATAGTGGGGTTTATGTAAAAAAAAATTTGAATTTCAAAGGAAGAAAGTCACATTTTCAGTAATTTTTATAATAATTAAAAAAAAAAAAAAACTTTGCGCGACGCCTTAATGTGATCGTCGCGCAAAACCACTTTGCGTGACGTCAAATTGTATACCTACGTCGCGCCAGTTGTGATAATTTTGGCGGTGTAATAGTAAAAAAAAGGCGCTTTTTTTTTTTGTTCAAATTTTTAATTTTATTTCCCTTCTAAGTTTGGATGCTCATCTTTCATCCCTCACTTTGTCCAAGTTTGGACGCTCACCTCTCATCCCTCAAATCTCAGACCCTCCTCGAAATCTCTAATTGGGTTAAAGAATTCCTGCTGTTTCCCCCTTTTTCCGTTTGGGATTTCTGGGTTGTGGCTGAGTTTTTGGTCGATTTCCATCCCTTTGGGCGCGGCCTATCTTCAGATCTCTGCAGAATCAATCTTATATAGCTAAGGTGTGTTTTATAATGATTGTTTAGGATTTTTTTCTAAATTTCCCAGAAACTCCAGACTTAGAGAGAGCAGTTGCAGTAGCTGTGACTACTATTTGTTTCTCTCTTGAAAAAGGTATGAACTCTGATTACTCTGTCCCGGTCAAATCTTACAAAGTTTTCGGCTTTTTCCGATTTTAACTTCTGGGTTACTGTTCTTTCATAATTTCGTCATCTGGGCAATCTCCAATTTTCGTGATCTGGGAAATCTCCAATTTTCGTATTTTTATGTGGTCGTTTGGTTTCCGTTTTCGGTCTGAAATATTCAAATTTTTATTTGAGTTTGCTGCGATTTATTCAATTGAACTAGGGTGGGTTTTTCAGAGATGGGAAAGAAGATATGAACAGAGAAAAAAAGGAGTTGAAAGGGAAAGAGAGGGGAGACAGAGATGGGGAAGTTGGAAAGAAGAAAAATGTTTTCGAAATAGGCGGAGAGGGTGAGGAAAATGTGGTTTCCTCCTAGCCTAACCTTTTATTTTGTTGGGAAATTGATTGAGATGATTCATTTTTTACGATTCGGTTTCACCCTTTTTTTTTTTTTTTTTTTTCAATTATTATTATTATTATTATTTTATTTTATGAAATGCTGTTCAGTGAATTTATTTTCTAGGCGATTCAATTACCCAAATTGCCCAAATATAGATATACTGTTTGAGAAGGCAATTAAAAATTTACCCATTTCTAGAATATGACGAAAAATAGATTGTATATGGTTTGTTTTATAAGAAAGTATATTACCATCATCATCCTACTCTTTGGAAAATTTAATTGCAAGCTAAGTGTGAGATTAGGTATTCGGAATAGCAATGTTGTATAAAGAAGTCACTTATCCATAGAATTTTTGTAAGGTAAAAGATGCTTATTGGGGTCAAGAGATTTTAATAGTTCTTTTTACAGATTATTTGTGGTAGATATACTGTATTGTTATAGTTTAAGAAGAACTAAAATGTGTTAGATCATTTGGTTCTTGATAGTTTAATTTAAGTTTTCATTTCTTTTCCCAATTATGCAATGCTTTCAACGAAAAAAAGAAAGATCATTATAATACTATTTCTGTTTTGTGTATCTCATTTGTGACTGCATTTTCCATTGTAGATTATTATCAAAGCAATTTATATAAGCTACAAAGTGCTTTTGCTGAAATTGAAAAAAAAAAGGTTAGCCAACTTACTAAGTAGTGTTAAGTTCACAATTTATAAATTTTTATTAATCGTATTGATAATTATTGCTTTAAATAAAAAAAAAAGGATTATTACAATGCTATTGTTTTGTATAACTTATTTATACTATGTTATCTATTGCAGATTATTGGCACAACAATTTATATAAGCTACAGTGCTTTTGCTCAAATTGGAAAGAAAAAAAAAAGTGTAAGTGATTGACAAGTAGTGTAAACTTTAGAATTTACAAATTTTTGTTAATCATGTTGATAACTGTTTGTACATATATATAAATATGTTCTGGTATTTGTATCACCTTTTAAAAATTTATGTATATCAAATATCATCATGTGTTAAAGTTGTATTTGTATTTATGTCTTTTATACTGTGATTAAGTCGGTTCTTTCTTTTTTACAATGAGATGTAATATTTTTTTCCTGTAATTTTGCGGGTTTTAGAGCCTTGAATTATGCATCCTAAACTGATACTACATATTGAATTGTTTACATTATACTAAATATTTTGTTTTTTAATATCAGGTTCGGGTGCCCCTCTCAATATAGCAACACGAAAAATTATCTTCAGTAGCTGTTTATTGATCCCAAATTCTTTAGTCTAATAAATTGCAATTATCTTCTTTTATGTATTTATAAACATGCATGATCAAGGCTACTAAAGTTGCAAGAATTTCTGGGGCACCACTTAGTATGGGGGTGGAGTCAATCGACTTGAATTGACTAGAGGTTTGACAAAGGTAGATAAATTTTTTTTTTTTTTTTCCGTTTTGTTATTGTGTTATTCGGTTGCTCTTAATCTTGACAATGAATTTGGTTTTGTAATAATTTGTGAATTCTTGAGATTTTTCAAATTGATTAGATCACGCCTTTTACTTTTGTTTCAATACGCCAAAAAACGAAAAATTTCGGAATTAACAAGTGTAGAATTTGGCTGTGTAAATCCATAATATTTTATACTTTCACCAGGTTAACACTTTGGTAATGAATGCAGTGCATTCTTTAATAAGATTTGTTATCATCCCTTCATCGTTAATATCCTTTTGGTATCTTGCAGATATAAGCAAAGTGAAAAGTTTCGACTGTGGATTCCATGAGCATTTTGAAAGTAGTATGCTTTTCCATATGTGCTTTTTCTCTGATTGTGTTCTAACTGATCATTGCAGTTGAAAGATTTGACGGTTAAGTTACTAACAAAGCAAAGACTGAGCCATGGTGAGACACAAGCTTTCGGCCACCTCGCCCTGCTGATACCTAGTAGCTTGATGTATTAAACCTAGTTCACTTTTAGTTTTTTTCTTTTTTGTTTGGATCTTGTATGTACATTTTCATATATTTTATAATTAAATACTTTTGCTTGGTTAATTAATTATTCTTTCGAATTTAATTACAATATTTATCAAAAATTAAAAAAAAAAAAAAAGTTTGACCAAAACTACTCCCCACTTTGCACGACCAATCACTTTGCACGACGCATGGCTCCATCGCGCAAACCCACTTTGCGTGACTCATGCGTACGTCGCGCAAAGTGGTTTTGCGCAACGCACACCGTTAGTCACGCAAAGCGGGTTTGCGCGACGCACTCCGTTAGTCACGCAAAGAGGGTTTGCGTGACGCACAAAGTGGGTAGTGCAAAGTGGGTTTGCGCGACGCAGTCCGTAGTTGCGCAAAGTGGGTTTGCGTGACGCACACCGTTGGTCGCGCAAACCCACTTTGCGCGACGCATTCCGTGGCCGTCGCGCAAACCCACTTTGCGCGACGCACGCCCCGTGGCCGTCGCGCAAACCCTAGCGTCTCAGACTTTGCGCGACGATTAACGCGCGACGAAGGTTGCGTCGCGCAAACCCTTAGGCAACGATTTTTTACTTTGCGCGACGAAAGTACCTACGTCGCGCAAAGTGTTTTTTTTACTAGTGTTGAGGGATTTCTTGCAATAAAACCTGATAATAGCAAATGTCCATTTCCAGTGCTTTCAGAAAGATTTTCATCATGTGATGGCAAATTAATTGTATGATAAAGTGTACATGATTACATTAATAATTATGGCATAAACTTGACATAGGGGAAAAATAACTCCAAATTACGAAGACTGAGTCTACATATGATGATATGAACAGATGGAGCCTGTTTCTCTTCGGTCAATAGAATCAATACATATGGCAGCCTTAGTTACCAACTTTCTTGTGAAGGTGCATGCAAACTTACTAAAACAAAAATTCACTACGTTGTCACATGGTAGTTCCAGTGATTCCGTTTTCAAGAAGAAGCAACTCTACCCAGGTAATATTTATGTGTTATCCAGATAAAAAACCTACTTCAACTGTTTAGAGTGTCAAACTGCCTATGGCATATATTGCCTTACAGAAGAATTTAAATTCATTAGGTTCAGCATCGAAAGCCAAATATTCATCAATCTTCTCTTACTACTTAGTCCATTCTACATAGCAAGAGATTTTGTTGATTGAAGAGTAACTCCAAACACGACCAATTTGATCAAACATTTCATTAAAAATAATAATAAGCATGCAATAGAAAACCTTGACTTACAGTTTTTGCATCATGGGGAGTAAGATTGTCCCACTGCGATCGGTTAGCCAGTCATTCACAAACCTACCATCAGCACACTACGACACAAAATACGTGCGCAACAATTATATCCAATCAAGCATCCATGACATCATTAACCTCTCCAATTTATACAGGCGGCCCTTCCTGGAAATCACCCTAGCAGCATTATCAAAAGCTTGCAATCACTGGAATTGCATGACCCTAACAACCAAAATGCATACCCAAATCATCAACCAAACATTTATGGAGCACCTAAACAAATTTATCTATTGCATGGCATAACAAATTATCAATCTACTGGCAAATAAACAAAATAGAGAATACGCAATTTACTTTCCCATCGGCGTGAAGGCCCGATTTTAATCAACTTTGACATCCTCCAGGCTCAAATTACAGCCCTCCAGCGTATTCATCACATCGGTCTTCAGCGTATAGCTCGAGATTCCAAGCAGCTTCCCATACACCAAACCTTAAAAATATCATATGCGACACATTGCCATTGTGACACATTTCATCATTGAATTTAAATACCCAAAACCCTGAACTGAAAATGGAAACGAAATCACAGCCATGCCCACGGCAGCGGATAGGCCAGTTTATAATACCTGTGGTTGGGGTTTGGAGAAAAGGTTCGATCGGTGAAGCATCATGCGGCTGATCAGACGGCGGGGAGTTCTGAGGCGGGTTTTCGGCTTTTGTCGAGAACCGCCTCCTCGGTTCGCCGAGAAGCATAGAGAGGCCGCGGTTCTGCGGCACGGCCCTACGTATGGCGAGGTTTGACGTGATTACGGCGCGGAGAAAACCGAGCTTCGACATTTTTGCTCTCTTTTGCTTTTTCGCGAGCTTTTGGACATTCACAGTGGCGCGGCGTCATTTTCTCTGCTCTACTGAGGACTAAGGGGAGAGGACGGTGATTGTCGTTTCGAGAAAGTGGAATTCGAGAAATGCCCCGGAATTGTAGCGAAATTATTGATTCTGCCCCTGCCCTATGCATAGAGTGCTGCTTTTAGTTCATTAGGCCATATCCAACCGATGGTTGGTCAGAAGATTCATTTTAGCCCTCTGGTCCTTCAAGATCCTTTAAGATATTAATATTTTAACGAACAGTACATGACTATATTTGCCTCCGTCTCCAACCGGGGGCCAAAGGGCCAGAGGGCTTGTTTTAGCCCTATCACAAAAAAACCGTCTCCAACCGAGGGCCAAAGGGCCAAACATAATTTATTATTTAAATTTAAAAACTACAACTTATATTTAAAAACTACACCTAAAATTTAAAAACGACGAATTAAATTTAAGAACTACAAATTAAATTCGAAAACAACATTAACTTAGATTTAAAAATTACAACAACTTAAATTTAATATCTATAATCAACATCATCTTCATCATCCGCCATTGTAGGAGTATAGTCAGAGATAAACAACTGTCGTCGGCTCATAGTTTCTTTTTTTTTTCCTATCAAAATAGGCCTTACTCATTGGAGTGTAATTCGAAGTGTTACTTTCCATATTTTTATCATCCATCTCTTCTTGTATTTGTTTGGCCCGTTCTTCATGCCTACACTTCCTTTCTTCCGCCTCAAGGGCATTTTGCTCCACCAATAATCGCAATGAGGCCACCACTTTATGTTGAGTGGCGTAATCATCATTTGCCTTGCCCTTTTCCTTCAACCTTCGCGCCTTGTTTCATCCTATAGCCCTAGGTATGGAACCTTCACCCGACGACGGATTTTCTACCCTTGTTTGTTGAATGGTTGGAGATCCATCTTCATCCATATCTGCAGTTGAGGATACAGTTCTGAACACCGGCGTATGAGCTCTCAGTGGTGGATCTTCAAATAACACCCACCCTTTACAAATTTCCCAACAACTATGAAACTGAAAGAGTTTCGAGCTGCTCTCCATATACAATTCCTCTGCTTGGTGTACCTAGAAAAAAAATTAAAGGAAATTAATTTATGAAATTAAATGTAATATAATTAAATATTTAAAATAAATTGTGAAAACACTTACTTCGTCGTAGTAATTAGCGCCGCTTTCATGTCTACTTGCGGCTGCTAACAATGCTTGATGCCATTTGTTCAAACTTGGGTGAAGATGTTTCTTCCATCTTGAAGAACAACTCTCGCGGTTTCGAATATTCACTGGAGTAGTGCCTTCATAGAACTCTAAGGCCATCTCCAACCGAGGGCTGGCCAGAGGGCTTGTTTTAGCCCTCTCGCCCTCCAAGATTCTCCAAGATATTAATATTTTAATGAACAGTACAGGGCCATATTTGCCTCCGTCTCCAACCTAGGGCCAGAGGGCTCGTTTTAGCCTTGCCACAAAAAACCGTCTCTAATCGAGGGCCAAAGGGCCAAACATAATTTATTATTTAAATTTAAAACTACAACAACTTAAATTTAAAAACTATAACTTATATTTAAAAATTACAACTAAAATTTAAAAACAACAAATTAAATTTAAAAACTACAAATTAAATTCGAAAACAACATTAACTTAAATTTAAAAACTAAAACAACTTAAATTTAATATCCATAATCAACATCATCTTCATCATCCGTCATCGTAGGAGTATAGTCAGAGGTAAACAACTGCCGTCAACTCATAATTTCTTATTTTTCCTATCAAAATAGGCCTTACTCATTGGAGTGTAATTCGAAGTGTTCCTTTCCATATTCTTATCATCCATCTTTTCTTGTATTTTTTTGCCCGTTCTTCATGCCTATGCTTCATTTCTTCAGCCTCAAGGGCATTTTGCTCCACCAATAATCGCAATGAGGCCGCCACTTCATGTTGAGCGGCGTAATTATCATTTGCCTTGCCCTTTTCCTTCAACCTTCGCGCCTTGTTTCGTCCCATAGCCCTAGGTATGGAACCTTCACCCGAAGACGGATTTTCTACCCTTTTTTGTTGAATGGTTGGAGATCCATCTTCATCCATATCTACAACTGAGGATGCCGTTTCGAACACCGGCATAGGAGCTCTCTTTGGTGGATCTTCAAATAACATCCACCCTTTACAAATTTCCCAACAACTGTGAAACTGAAAGGGTTTTGAGCTGCTCTACATATACAATTCCTCCGCTTGGTGTACCTAAAAAAAAATTAAAGGAAATTAATTTATGAAATTAAATGTAATATAATTAAATATTTAAAATAAATTATGAAAACACTTACTTCGTCGTAGTAATTAGCGCCACTTTCATGTCTACTTGCGGCTGCTAACAATGCTTGATGCCATTTGTTCAAACTTGGGTGAAGATGTTTCTTCCATCTTGAAGAACAACTCTGTGGTTTCGAATATTCACTGGAGTGTTGCCTTCATAGAACTCTAAGTATTTTTTGGACACACGAGTCCAAACACCTTTATTTGTTTGACAATTCCCCCTCACACTATCTTCCGACACCCATCTATAAGCCTTGCAAAGAGCTTCATCTTCTTTTCGGGTCCAAGCCCTACCTTTCATTGCAGAAGAGGCCATTTCAAAATTATTAAAAAAATTGAAGGATCGATTTTTGAAAGAGGAAGGAAAATATGAGAATTGAAATGGTAGGAATGGTGAAAATTTTGTGAGGAATGGTTTAGGTATTTATAGAAAAAAAAAATAGAATTTTTTTTTAAAAGAAAAAAGGCCCAAAAAACCCTAAAAAAAAAAATTTGAATCCAACGGTAACTGGAGTCAGCTAGTCGTTGGATTCAAAATTATTTTTAAAAATTCATGTCGGTTATAACCAACAGGATTTCCAGTTTTTCTAGCCAGCCCTCCAACCCTCTAGCCCTCTCCGATTCTGTGGGGCCCTCTGAGATTCCACAACCCTCTGGCCTAGCCCTCGATTGGAGACGATTTTCAGGTTATTTTCGGCCCTTTGGCCCTCTGGACCTTTTGGTTGGAGATGGCCTAAGTATTTTTTGGACACATGAGTCCAAACATCGTCATTTGTTTGCCAATTCCCCCTCACACTATCTTCCGACACCCATCTACAAGCTTTGCAAAGAGCTTCATCTTCTTTTCGGGTCCAAGCCCTACCTTTCACTGCAGATAAGGTCATTTCAAAATTATTAAAAAAATTGAAGGATAGATTTTTGAAAGAGGAAGGAAAATATGAGAATTGAAATGGTGTAGGAATGGTGAAAATTTTGTGAGGAATGGTTTATGTATTTATAGGAAATTTTTTAAAAAAGGCCCAAAAAACCTAAAAAAACAAAAATAAAAATAAAAATTGGATCCAACGGTAACTGGCGCCAGCTAACAACGCCATGGCATGTTTGGAACTGTTTTTGAACGGTCTAGCAACGGTTTTGACTACATTTGACATAAAAACTTTAAAATGCGAAGGGATCACTAAAGCGTTTTTCGAAAATACCCTTGGTAGGTGCTTCTTTATGAAGCACTTCCAACTGTTTTTCTAGACCCTTATGAGCGTAAGTGTTTTTCAACAAAAGCAATTCCAAGAGGAAGAAGATACAAGTGACGGAGTAAAGGGGACACCGATGGCAACATCCCCAGCCAATATAGTACATTGCAATATGGAAAAATACTTGCACATAACACTATATTATTGGCAAAAAAACGATACGGTACTGTAATTAAATGTGTATTTGCAACTTGTCCATCCGTCCCACCAAAAGGGCCCGGATTGGGTCATCCAAGTCTAGACTATCTTTGGTTCTCACATTTAGTAGCTAGCAGTAGCAACTCACAATGCTTGGAGTCCTACATTTCCCAGTGTTTTCATATTTGTTCATTGAAGAACCCAAATTGATTGTAAGGATAAAGACCTACCGGGGAGCTAGAGACTAATATGGTCTTCCCATTCCTTGCCAGACACTGGGAGCAGCGGCCTATTTGTCACTGGCTATCATTCAACCAAGATTAAGTTCTATGGGATAAAAATATAGTGTATTCGTGTTTCGTATGCATTCCTGTAAAGAAACTCAGTTTCTAATCTGACTGCCAAAATACAGAAAAAAAACAGAGAGAGAGAGTTTCTTTGAACAATATCTTAATTCCTAAGCATGCATTGCATGCATTACTAATTAAGTAATTAGTTTTTTTCTTTCTTTTTTTTTTTGGTCAGAAGTATTTAGTGTTCTAATCTCTGAAAATGTATAGTTTGAACTAATAAATGCATTTGTTTAATTGTTTTTTCTAAAGTTAGCAGAAAATTGTGGATTTCTACAGAAAGAGTCACACTCTAAACCGTGACATGTTGTTAATGTATGAATTGATAGGTAGGTCCTAATAGGGCCGCCCTATAGGTGTAGAAAAATATGTATGATTCTAAATCAACAAAACAGCCTGAATGAGGACAAGGTGCGATTGAGAGTTGGATACCACATGTTCGGAACTGTTTTTGAAAGATCTAACAACGTGTTTTGACAACTAGAAGCAGTTTTAATTACCCTTAACATAAAAACTTAAAATTGTAACCCGATCACAAAACATTTTTTGAAAATACACTTGGTAGGTTCTTTTTCAGAAAACACTTCCAAGTTTTTTTTCTAAGCACTTGATTTTAATGTGTTTCTAATGAATGTACTTTTGGTAGAAACTCATAAAGTAGAAGTATTTTTTGACAAAAACAATCCTAAGAAGAAGAACTTACAAGGGATGGAGTAAAGGGAGCATTGATGCCATCAACTCCGGACACAATATGGAAAGATACTTACACGTAACACTATATTATTAACAACTATGTCATGATAGCGTACTAAAAGGTGCATATGCAACTTGTGAGTCATCCCCACCAAAAGGTCCCGAATTTGGTTCTCCTTAAGTCTTCTGCTCGATGGGGGCTCACTATTTGTGTGGTCCTCACATTGACTAGCTAGCTATCTCGTACTGCTTGGAGTTCTACTTTTATGTGTACTTTTTGCTTTTGGGTCATTTGAACAAGGATTTGGATCCCATCTGGATCCAAATTCTAAAGATCCTCACATCTTAGCCATTTATTTTGCATCGTGCGGTCAGAAATTATTTGATTTTTTTATTTAAAATTAAACACAAATACTACCTGAAATACTACCTGATGAAAAGTTGAACCATTCAAACGCGTAAATCTAAGTTAAGTCTAGCAATCACTCTAATAAAATGCAATATGAAAAAAATACTTGCACATAACACTATATTATTGGCAACAAATGCCACGGTAGTGTAATTAAAGGTGCATATGCAACTTGTGCGTCCTTCCCACCAAAAGGGCCAGTATTTGGTCATCCAAGTCTGCTAGATGATAGCTGACTATCTTTGGTCCTCACATAATGCTTGGAGTTCTACTTTGCCTAGTGATTTAAAATTTGTTCATTGAAGAACCACTAGTTGATTCCACAGTGGTAGGGCCTGTAATTAAACCCAAATTGATTGTGAGGATAAAGACCTACCGGGGAGCTAGACTAATTTGGTCTTCACATTCCTTGCTAGACACCGTGGGAAATTGCTTACTAATTTCACACCCAAAAGAGATTGAAAAAACAGAGAGTTTCTTATTTGCAGTCTGCATTTTGGTAAGGATGGAGCATTCACGTCGAACTCATGGCAGGCTGATTTTGTTTAAACTCTTTCATGGCTTCATTCTTTTATGCATGACCACAAGTCTGGAATCTGCAGCACTGTCCAGCACTAGTCTTGGAAATGAAACTGATCGCCTGGCGCTGCTCGACTTCAAGAAACACATCACTCAAGATGCTCTCCGTGTCATGAGCTCATGGAATGATTCCATCCATTTCTGCAGTTGGGTTGGTGTTACGTGCAACCATTCCACCAAGAGAGTCTTGAATTTGAACCTGCCAGATCAAAACTTGGCAGGCTCGTTACCCCCTTCTATAGGAAATCTTTCCTATCTTACTAGTATCAACCTAGGAAGCAACAGCTTTCGTGGTGAAATTCCTCAGGAAATTGGTCGTCTGCAAAGCCTACACGTTCTCAACTTGTCTCACAATTCCTTCAGTGGGAAAATTCCAACCAATTTATCCCAGTGTACACAACTAAAGACGCTTGAGTTTCGTTACAATGAACTTATTGGCTCGATTCCAAAACAACTCAGTTCATTGTCGAAATTAAAGCATCTGGTGCTTTATTACAACAGTCTGACTGGAACCATCCCGAGTTGGATAGGAAACTTTTCTTCTCTGCGTTGGATAGATTTTGCCGCAAACAATTTTCAAGGAAGCATACCCAATGCGCTCGGGCGGCTAACAAGATTGCAAGAATTCGCACTTGAAGGAAACAAGCTCTCTGGTATAATCCCTGCTTCAATCTATAATATTTCTTCCATATACTTGTTTGGTGTTACTTCAAACCAATTGCATGGAGAGCTACCAACAAATCTCGGCCTTACTCTTCCTAATCTCCAAGAATTTGTCTGTAGCGACAACCAATTCACAGGAATTATTCCTGTATCATTGTCAAATGCTTCTAGACTACAAGTTATTGACTTCGCTAAAAATGGTCTTACTGGAACAATCCCAGGTGAAAATCTTGGAACCTTGCGAAGCTTAGTTGCACTAAACCTTAATCACAATAGATTGGGAAGTGGGAAAGCTGGGGACCTGAATTTTCTCAAATTCTTGGCTAATTGTACTAGTCTGGAGTGGTTGAATCTTTCCAGAAATCAATTTGGAGGAGAATTGCCTGTATCCATGTCCAACCTTTCTACCACACTAAGAAATCTTTTTCTGGGGATAAATTCGATACATGGAAGCATCCCTTTGGGTATTGGAAATCTAGTAAACTTGGCCCTTGTTGAAATGGATAATAACTATTTCAGTGGTAGTCTCCCTGAAGAAATCGGGAGGCTTCAGAAATTGAATGTACTATATTTGGACGACAACACTTTTTCTGGGCCAATCCCGTCGTCCCTGGGTAACATGACTTCATTGACAAAACTCTTCCTACAACAGAATAGATTTCTGGGAAATATACCACCAAGTCTAGGAGACTGCCAACATCTTCTACTGCTTAACCTTTCTGTTAACAATCTAACAGGCACCATACCTAAAGAGATTTTTGGGCTTTCATCCCTTACAATTTCTTTGACAATGTCTGACAATAAGTTGACAGGTCCATTGCCATCTGAAGTTGGTCTTTTGGTACATCTAGTAGAGCTAGATTTATCAAGAAACAATTTATCAGCTGAAATTCCCACAAGCCTTGACAGTTGTGTTATGTTGGTGCGTTTACAATTGGGAGGTAATGAGCTTCAAGGGATAATTCCTCAATCTCTTAAAAGTTTAAGAAGCCTGGAAGAAATTGATCTTTCAAGCAATAACTTATCCGGGCAGGTTCCTGAGTTTCTAAGCAAGTTTAGATTTCTTAGGCATCTCAATCTCTCGTATAATAATTTTGAGGGTAAAATGCCTGAAGAAGGGATCTTTTCAAATGCAACTGGTCTCTCAATTCTTGGAAATGCTAATCTATGTGGTGGTAGCTCGAAATTACATTTACCTGCATGCCCCAACATAAAGCCTCACTCATCTCGAGGACTGCTTGCTCGAAAAGTAGTCATCTCTGTAGCTTGCGCACTTGCCATCATAATTGGTATGTCATGCCTTATTGTTGCTCGTTCAGTGCTTAAGAGGCCAAGGAGTATATATGTACGCTCACGTTCTTATGAGGATTGGAAAGCAAGTGTCTCTTACTCAGAACTTGTTCAATCAACTGACGGGTTCTCTACAGAAAATTTGATTGGTTCTGGAAGTTTTGGTTTTGTTTACAAAGGAGTAGTCCCCGGTGATGGAACTCTAGTTGCAGTTAAGGTGTTAAACCTTCAACAACAAGGAGCATCCAAGAGTTTTATGGATGAATGTAAAGCTTTGAGAAACGTAAGGCATCGTAATCTTCTGAAGATCATAACTGCATGCTCAAGCATTGACAACCAGGGTCAAGATTTCAAAAGTCTAGTTTTTGAGTACATGGTAAATGGAAGCCTAGAAATGTGGCTACATCCGAGAAATGACGAGCACACTCAGAGTAAGAGATTGAGCCTTGTCCAAAGACTCAATATTGTAATCGATATTGCTTCTGCATTGGATTATCTCCACAACCATTGTGAAACTTCAATTGTTCATTGTGATATGAAGCCAAATAATGTTCTTCTAGACGAAGATATGGTAGCTCATGTTGGTGACTTTGGTTTAGCAAGGTTCCTCTTGGAGGCGTCTAATGATCCCGCTCAAAGTCAAACCATATCAACCGGATTAAAGGGTTCAATAGGCTACATTCCTACAGGTATGAGTTTCTATCACTTTCAATGCCTTCTCTTCCTAATAACTAATCACAAAGCCAAATTAAGTTCTAATGTATGTATTGAATGGCAGAGTATGGCATGGGAGGCCAAGTTTCCATCCTTGGAGATGTTTATAGTTTTGGAATACTATTGCTAGAAATGTTCACAGGAAGACGACCTACAGATGACATGTTCAAAGATGGTTTGAGCATTCACCAGTTCACTGCCATGGCGATGCCTGACCATGCCATGGACATAGTTGACCCACTGCTGCTCGTTGAATGTGAAGATGCAGATGTTGATGGAAGCCCAATTCAAGCAAGAAGGTTGGTGGAATGCTCAGTTTCAGTGATGCAAATTGGACTCTCATGCTCTGCCACATCACCGTCAGAGCGAATGCTTATGGGTGCTGTTGTGAACAAATTAAAGACAATTAGAGATTCATATCTCAAATTAAGAGGTAGAGGCTAGAAATATAAATGTGATAGTTCCATTCTCCTAGACCTCGTGGTCCAAGAAAATTATGATCACTCACGGTTCGATCATCATCCAACGGTGGAGGACATAAGATCGAATGGTGGGAGACCACACTTGAACCTTGTGGTCTAGGATAACGGAATTGATAAATGTGAGGTCAAGTTTGTTAAATAATTAGCCTCGTATCGTCTGTGTGCAAGAAATCATTTGAATAAGGATATTATACATATCGAATTTGTGTGAGATTATGTAAGGTTGAACTCAACATTTTATATAGTAGAATAAGGAAAGGATGTTTGAATCCTGTTTCTTCCCGTACTTGTTTGTTAAGGAAAGAATGTAACTTAATCAATCGGTAGTTTTTTTAGCTTAATTGGTCTTATTAGTCTCAAATATCAATCATATTGTTAACGGTTTATTTTCAATGGCAGTCTATGACTCCTTTATCTTTATTCCAGTTCACTGCTGCACTTCTCCCACCATGTCATTTGAATGTCTCACAGGTTTCACGTTACCAATCCGCATGCTAATATAGGTAGACAAACAAATGTTTTCGCCTTCATGAACCGAAGATGGTTGATGTTAAAAGGTTTCCCTTTTAGATGTTTGAGTCAAAATCTTAAAGTAGCATATCATTTCACAGATATATTTGTAATATAGATCTGATTGCAAAATATTCTTCTACACATCGTAACATTAAGAAATTAAAATTATGCATGCTTGTAATTATTAGCAATATAGGACTTGTAACGTTAAGAAATTAAAATTATGTATGCTTGTAATTATTAGCAAAAGGACTTGGGATTAAAAGAAAGAATGGAATACCCATTCCTGCATGAGGACTGAACACATTTCTACTCCTGAGTTGAATCAAGTAAATAAAAACACGGCCTCATAAAAAGACATCGTATACCATGCAAATTCCTAAAGTGCCGAATAACGACATGATACTACATAATCCTATTCTCATTTCATCATGTCTCATAGCAATTCTTCTGACAAAGGGAACCAACAAAACAGGATTACTGGAGAACGCGCATCAAAATTTGACCATTCTGACAGAAGCCTTTGTTCTTCGCAAGGAATGCATTCATTGCCTCGGTTTGAGACGGAAAGCCAACAGTTGCAAATTTAGAGGGTTCTGGGAAAGACCTGCAACATAGTTTCAAAAAATAAAATAAAAATCAAGTAGGCTAAAAGTATTTCGATGTAAAAATCAAGTATACTTGTATATATATGGAGTGGATCCGTGGCACCACAAAAAACACACAAGTTTTGACACAAGTCTTAGACCATTAGATGTACACATTTTTAATGGTTTAGATACAATCTAATTACTCCAATTAATTTTATTTATTCAAATAATTATGAATTGGGAATAAAATTCTAAAAACCTAATAAGATTTTTATATTCTCCTTCCTATCTCATTAATTGTTTTTCATTAATTTCTCGTTTCTCCATTGACTCTTTCTTCTCCCTCTTCATCATTCATCCTATGTACAGATATTTCCCCTCTTTCTTCTCCATTCATCCTCCCATGGGCATGCTATCTTATTTTCTAATTTTTTTTCGTTTTGTTTTTAAATTTCTTCTCCATCTTGGTGATCGAATCTTTCTGCACCAGCTAAATTTTCACACCCGATTCCTTATCTCCCTTGAAATGTTTTGAAAACATACGGAATTGCAGTCCATATAAAATGTTGCACAATGCAGCTAACTAGCAACAGATTAATGCGTCCAGGAATCATCCATTTATTAAAGAAATAATTGAAATTGTTGCAGCCTATAAGCCTCATGCATCCCACGATATTAATTATTTGATGTAAAATATATGGCCACATTAACCCCTTGAGATTTTAGAAAATTTAAAATTCAACTAAAATGTAAATTCAAATAATATGATGCCAAGTTTTAGGTTCATTACCTAACCTTCAGAAAATAGACATTGTGAACGAAGTATTCATTCTTTTAAAATTCAAATTATTCAATTATATATGTTTTGCTACTGAAGTTGGGTTCATGCCCTTATGGCTAGTGCAATGAGAAGAAAGAGTGAGCGAAAAATATGCAGATGACGGAAAGATAGAAACAAAAGAAAGATAGTAGTCAAGTTCAGAAAAGAAGAAAGAGAGCAGGGTAGAATAATTAATTAATTTTAAAAAAAACCTAATGCAAAACTATTTAAATAAAAGAAATTAATTGGACTAATTAGATTACATCTCAACCATTAAATGTGGACAAATCTAATGGTCTAAGATTTGTGTCAAATCTTGTGTAAAAAATATGGTGCCACAGATCCGCCCCCTATATATATAAGCATGTTTCATTTGCAAGCCATTCAGCTTACCTGAAAATTATCTGGAGGGAAGATGAATCATATTCACAACCAGACAAAAACCGTTCTACATCTTATGGAGCCGCAGTTTGAGGGATTTCTTGCAATAAAACCTGATAATAGCAAATGTCCATTTCCAGTGCTTTCAGAAAGATTTTCATCATGTGATAGCAAATTAATTGTATGATAAAGTGTACATGATTACATTAATAATTATGGCATAAACTTGACATAGGGGAAAAATAACTCCAAATTACGAAGACTGAGTCTACATATGATGATATGAACAGATGGAGCCTGTTTCTCTTCGGTCAATAGAATCAATACATATGGCAGCCTTAGTTACCAACTTTCTTGTGAAGGTGCATGCAAACTTACTAAAACAAAAATTCACTACGTTGTCACATGGTAGTTCCAGTGATTCCGTTTTCAAGAAGAAGCAACTCTACCCAGGTAATATTTATGTGTTATCCAGATAAAAAACCTACTTCAACTGTTTAGAGTGTCAAACTGCCTATGGCATATATTGCCTTACAGAAGAATTTAAATTCATTAGGTTCAGCATCGAAAGCCAAATATTCATCAATCTTCTCTTACTACTTAGTCCATTCTACATAGCAAGAGATTTTGTTGATTGAAGAGTAACTCCAAACACGACCAATTTGATCAAACATTTCATTAAAAATAATAATAAGCATGCAATAGAAAACCTTGACTTACAGTTTTTGCATCATGGGGAGTAAGATTGTCCCACTGCGATCGGTTAGCCAGTCATTCACAAACCTACCATCAGCACACTACGACACAAAATACGTGCGCAACAATTATATCCAATCAAGCATCCATGACATCATTAACCTCTCCAATTTATACAGGCGGCCCTTCCTGGAAATCACCCTAGCAGCATTATCAAAAGCTTGCAATCACTGGAATTGCATGACCCTAACAACCAAAATGCATACCCAAATCATCAACCAAACATTTATGGAGCACCTAAACAAATTTATCTATTGCATGGCATAACAAATTATCAATCTACTGGCAAATAAACAAAATAGAGAATACGCAATTTACTTTCCCATCGGCGTGAAGGCCCGATTTTAATCAACTTTGACATCCTCCAGGCTCAAATTACAGCCCTCCAGCGTATTCATCACATCGGTCTTCAGCGTATAGCTCGAGATTCCAAGCAGCTTCCCATACACCAAACCTTAAAAATATCATATGCGACACATTGCCATTGTGACACATTTCATCATTGAATTTAAATACCCAAAACCCTGAACTGAAAATGGAAACGAAATCACAGCCATGCCCACGGCAGCGGATAGGCCAGTTTATAATACCTGTGGTTGGGGTTTGGAGAAAAGGTTCGATCGGTGAAGCATCATGCGGCTGATCAGACGGCGGGGAGTTCTGAGGCGGGTTTTCGGCTTTTGTCGAGAACCGCCTCCTCGGTTCGCCGAGAAGCATAGAGAGGCCGCGGTTCTGCGGCACGGCCCTACGTATGGCGAGGTTTGACGTGATTACGGCGCGGAGAAAACCGAGCTTCGACATTTTTGCTCTCTTTTGCTTTTTCGCGAGCTTTTGGACATTCACAGTGGCGCGGCGTCATTTTCTCTGCTCTACTGAGGACTAAGGGGAGAGGACGGTGATTGTCGTTTCGAGAAAGTGGAATTCGAGAAATGCCCCGGAATTGTAGCGAAATTATTGATTCTGCCCCTGCCCTATGCATAGAGTGCTGCTTTTAGTTCATTAGGCTATCCAACCGATGGTTGGTCAGAAGATTCTTCTACGCATCGTAACATTAAGAAATTAAAATTATGCATGCTTGTAATTATTAGCAATATAGGACTTGTAACGTTAAGAAATTAAAATTATGTATGCTTGTAATTATTAGCAAAAGGACTTGGGATTAAACGAAAGAATGGAATACCCATTCCTGCACGAGGAATGAACACATTTCTACTCCTGAGTTGAATCAAGTAAATAAAAACACGGCCTCATAAAAAGACATCGTATGCCATGCAAATTCCTACAGTGCCGAATAACGACATGATACTACATAATCCTATTCTCATTTCATCATGTCTCATAGCAATTCTTCTGACAAAGGGAACCAACAAAACAGGATTACTGGAGAACGCGCATCAAAATTTGACGATTCTGACAGAAGCCTTTGTTCTTCGCAAGGAATGCATTCATTGCCTCGGTTTGAGACGGAAAGCAAACAGTTGCAAATTTAGAGGGTTCTGGGAAAGACCTGCAACATAGTTTCAAAAAATAAAATAAAAATCAAGTAGGCTAAAAGTATTTCGATATAAAAATCAAGTATACTTGTATATATATGGAGTGGATCCGTGGCACCACAAAAAACACACAAGTTTTAACACAAGTCTTAGACCATTAGATGTACACATTTTTAATGGTTTAGATACAATCTAATTACTCCAATTAATTTTATTTATTCAAATAATTATGAATTGGGAATAAAATTCTAAAAACCTAATAAGATTTTTATATTCTCCTTCCTATCTCATTAATTGTTTTTCATTAATTTCTCGTTTCTCCATTGACTCTTTCTTCTCCCTCTTCATCATTCATCCTATGTACAGATATTTCCCCTCTTTCTTCTCCATTCATCCTCCCATGGGCATGCTATCTTATTTTCTAATTTTTTTTCGTTTTGTTTTTAAATTTCTTCTCCATCTTGGTGATCGAATCTTTCTGCACCAGCTAAATTTTCACACCCGATTCCTTATCTCCCTTGAAATGTTTTGAAAACATACGGAATTGCAGTCCATATAAAATGTTGCACAATGCAGCTAACTAGCAACAGATTAATGCGTCCAGGAATCATCCATTTATTAAAGAAATAATTGAAATTGTTGCAGCCTATAAGCCTCATGCATCCCACGATATTAATTATTTGATGTAAAATATATGGCCACATTAACCCCTTGAGATTTTAGAAAATTTAAAATTCAACTAAAATGTAAATTCAAATAATATGATGCCAAGTTTTAGGTTCATTACCTAACCTTCAGAAAATAGACATTGTGAACGAAGTATTCATTCTTTTAAAATTCAAATTATTCAATTATATATGTTTTGCTACTGAAGTTGGGTTCATGCCCTTATGGCTAGTGCAATGAGAAGAAAGAGTGAGCGAAAAATATGCAGATGACGGAAAGATAGAAACAAAAGAAAGATAGTAGTCAAGTTCAGAAAAGAAGAAAGAGAGCAGGGTAGAATAATTAATTAATTTTAAAAAAAACCTAATGCAAAACTATTTAAATAAAAGAAATTAATTGGACTAATTAGATTACATCTCAACCATTAAATGTGGACAAATCTAATGGTCTAAGATTTGTGTCAAATCTTGTGTAAAAAATATGGTGCCACAGATCCGCCCCCTATATATATAAGCATGTTTCATTTGCAAGCCATTCAGCTTACCTGAAAATTATCTGGAGGGAAGATGAATCATATTCACAACCAGACAAAAACCGTTCTACATCTTATGGAGCCGCAGTTTGAGGGATTTCTTGCAATAAAACCTGATAATAGCAAATGTCCATTTCCAGTGCTTTCAGAAAGATTTTCATCATGTGATAGCAAATTAATTGTATGATAAAGTGTACATGATTACATTAATAATTATGGCATAAACTTGACATAGGGGAAAAATAACTCCAAATTACGAAGACTGAGTCTACATATGATGATATGAACAGATGGAGCCTGTTTCTCTTCGGTCAATAGAATCAATACATATGGCAGCCTTAGTTACCAACTTTCTTGTGAAGGTGCATGCAAACTTACTAAAACAAAAATTCACTACGTTGTCACATGGTAGTTCCAGTGATTCCGTTTTCAAGAAGAAGCAACTCTACCCAGGTAATATTTATGTGTTATCCAGATAAAAAACCTACTTCAACTGTTTAGAGTGTCAAACTGCCTATGGCATATATTGCCTTACAGAAGAATTTAAATTCATTAGGTTCAGCATCGAAAGCCAAATATTCATCAATCTTCTCTTACTACTTAGTCCATTCTACATAGCAAGAGATTTTGTTGATTGAAGAGTAACTCCAAACACGACCAATTTGATCAAACATTTCATTAAAAATAATAATAAGCATGCAATAGAAAACCTTGACTTACAGTTTTTGCATCATGGGGAGTAAGATTGTCCCACTGCGATCGGTTAGCCAGTCATTCACAAACCTACCATCAGCACACTACGACACAAAATACGTGCGCAACAATTATATCCAATCAAGCATCCATGACATCATTAACCTCTCCAATTTATACAGGCGGCCCTTCCTGGAAATCACCCTAGCAGCATTATCAAAAGCTTGCAATCACTGGAATTGCATGACCCTAACAACCAAAATGCATACCCAAATCATCAACCAAACATTTATGGAGCACCTAAACAAATTTATCTATTGCATGGCATAACAAATTATCAATCTACTGGCAAATAAACAAAATAGAGAATACGCAATTTACTTTCCCATCGGCGTGAAGGCCCGATTTTAATCAACTTTGACATCCTCCAGGCTCAAATTACAGCCCTCCAGCGTATTCATCACATCGGTCTTCAGCGTATAGCTCGAGATTCCAAGCAGCTTCCCATACACCAAACCTTAAAAATATCATATGCGACACATTGCCATTGTGACACATTTCATCATTGAATTTAAATACCCAAAACCCTGAACTGAAAATGGAAACGAAATCACAGCCATGCCCACGGCAGCGGATAGGCCAGTTTATAATACCTGTGGTTGGGGTTTGGAGAAAAGGTTCGATCGGTGAAGCATCATGCGGCTGATCAGACGGCGGGGAGTTCTGAGGCGGGTTTTCGGCTTTTGTCGAGAACCGCCTCCTCGGTTCGCCGAGAAGCATAGAGAGGCCGCGGTTCTGCGGCACGGCCCTACGTATGGCGAGGTTTGACGTGATTACGGCGCGGAGAAAACCGAGCTTCGACATTTTTGCTCTCTTTTGCTTTTTCGCGAGCTTTTGGACATTCACAGTGGCGCGGCGTCATTTTCTCTGCTCTACTGAGGACTAAGGGGAGAGGACGGTGATTGTCGTTTCGAGAAAGTGGAATTCGAGAAATGCCCCGGAATTGTAGCGAAATTATTGATTCTGCCCCTGCCCTATGCATAGAGTGCTGCTTTTAGTTCATTAGGCTATCCAACCGATGGTTGGTCAGAAGATTCTTCTACGCATCGTAACATTAAGAAATTAAAATTATGCATGCTTGTAATTATTAGCAATATAGGACTTGTAACGTTAAGAAATTAAAATTATGTATGCTTGTAATTATTAGCAAAAGGACTTGGGATTAAACGAAAGAATGGAATACCCATTCCTGCACGAGGAATGAACACATTTCTACTCCTGAGTTGAATCAAGTAAATAAAAACACGGCCTCATAAAAAGACATCGTATGCCATGCAAATTCCTACAGTGCCGAATAACGACATGATACTACATAATCCTATTCTCATTTCATCATGTCTCATAGCAATTCTTCTGACAAAGGGAACCAACAAAACAGGATTACTGGAGAACGCGCATCAAAATTTGACGATTCTGACAGAAGCCTTTGTTCTTCGCAAGGAATGCATTCATTGCCTCGGTTTGAGACGGAAAGCAAACAGTTGCAAATTTAGAGGGTTCTGGGAAAGACCTGCAACATAGTTTCAAAAAATAAAATAAAAATCAAGTAGGCTAAAAGTATTTCGATATAAAAATCAAGTATACTTGTATATATATGGAGTGGATCCGTGGCACCACAAAAAACACACAAGTTTTAACACAAGTCTTAGACCATTAGATGTACACATTTTTAATGGTTTAGATACAATCTAATTACTCCAATTAATTTTATTTATTCAAATAATTATGAATTGGGAATAAAATTCTAAAAACCTAATAAGATTTTTATATTCTCCTTCCTATCTCATTAATTGTTTTTCATTAATTTCTCGTTTCTCCATTGACTCTTTCTTCTCCCTCTTCATCATTCATCCTATGTACAGATATTTCCCCTCTTTCTTCTCCATTCATCCTCCCATGGGCATGCTATCTTATTTTCTAATTTTTTTTCGTTTTGTTTTTAAATTTCTTCTCCATCTTGGTGATCGAATCTTTCTGCACCAGCTAAATTTTCACACCCGATTCCTTATCTCCCTTGAAATGTTTTGAAAACATACGGAATTGCAGTCCATATAAAATGTTGCACAATGCAGCTAACTAGCAACAGATTAATGCGTCCAGGAATCATCCATTTATTAAAGAAATAATTGAAATTGTTGCAGCCTATAAGCCTCATTCATCCCACGATATTAATTATTTGATGTAAAATATATGGCCACATTAACCCCTTGAGATTTTAGAAAATTTAAAATTCAACTAAAATGTAAATTCAAATAATATGATGCCAAGTTTTAGGTTCATTACCTAACCTTCAGAAAATAGACATTGTGAACGAAGTATTCATTCTTTTAAAATTCAAATTATTCAATTATATATGTTTTGCTACTGAAGTTGGGTTCATGCCCTTATGGCTAGTGCAATGAGAAGAAAGAGTGAGCGAAAAATATGCGGATGACGGAAGGATAGAAACAAAAGAAAGAGAGTAGTCAAGTTCAGAAAAGAAGAAAGAGAGCAGGGTAGATTAATTAATTAATTTTTAAAAAACCTAATGCAAAACTATTTAAATAAAAGAAATTAATTGGACGAATTTAAATATCTAAAGACAATTCTATTTCTTCAAAGTAGAAAGGGGAAAATAATTGTTTACTTAAAAAGTTGTAGTAACGATAAGTGCATCAATTACAAATGTAATATTGAGGGAATACCTGCAAAATAAAGCTTACTACATTCTTAGACTTTTCATGTGCTACATGCAACGAACGTAAAGCTTGGCTACCAGACTTGCTCCTAGTTTGAGTTGTATCCAAAGAAAAAACTGACATTATTTTGCAATAAATTGCAGAAAGTGCCTTGTACAGCTCTCCATGCTGCAGAAGAAAACAAAGACAGTAGTCAACTAATGATGTACAATGATAAAACCGTAAGACAAATCAAAAGGTGACAGTGATTAAAAATAAAAAAAATTAAAAAAAAAAAAGCACAACTTCAAAATTGAGTTTTGGGGAGAGAGAGAGAGAGAGAGAGAGCCGAGAGAGGTTGTAAGCAAAGACCAAATATATAAGACTTTCATTTACATGCATCCCAAATTAGGGTTCCAACATCACAATAATTCTGGAAATTCAGGTTCCAACATCCCAGAAATAATTAAACGAAAAAAAAATTAAGAGAGAGGGAGGAATAATGCATACCAAGGAAGAGAAAAGGCTGAAACGGATCGAGATGTTTGGGGACTGAAGTGAATTGGTATCTGGGTCTGTTTTGTTTTTTCTTGAAGTTTTAGTAATTTGTACGCACCATCCAATTGTATTTATAGTAATTACCTGCACAAATCTCAATCACCTTACAATCTATCACTACACACATATAGTTCATACAAAATTGCAGAAATAAATTAAACTAACAAATTAAAAGAAAGGGAGAAATAATGCATACCAAGGAAGAGAAAAAGCTGGAACCGACCCTGCCATGGTATATAGGCATCTCAATTTTCAATACCAATTGCCTTTCTCAAATCTAAACGTCTCTCTCTAGTCCTCCCTCCCATACCAAAGTCCTCTCACCAGCACATCACATGGTAACACGAAATCGAGTTATTCATGATTACTCAAATCCCAAGTTGGGTGAGTGACTATAAATTCTCAAGGCATCTAGTGACCAAGAGAACGACGCTCGGTCTTACCTTCAAAAATAGCCATGTTAGGTTATTGTAAAAATTATGATCCACTTTTATCATATTTATTAAACTCTAAATAAAAGATTATGAAACATTGTGTTATTTACATGTACCAATATGCAGGAAAAACATAGGGTTTCATATTCCAAGAGAAAAATAAGTTAAGGAAAAACCTCAACACCTAACCTTATTATAATGGTGGTTGCTCAGTATAGCATCTGATCGTCTCAAGGACCTCTTTGAAACCGCCGTGGAAACATGTGATTGAGAATCTAGATGACAGCCTAAAACAACATTGTATCTCAAAGCCTGATATTCATAAAAACTTGTGTCAGCTTTAAAAAATCTAACTATTTTCTGAATCACTAGCTACCATCCTTTAAAATCAGTTTCCTAGAAACAAAGATCATTTAAATGACACTATTATTAAACCTATTAGCAAGAACAAAGATTCTTAAACTTCCTATTTCCATATATGAATTTAAGGAGGAGAGAAAAACTGAGTTATGCAAGTATAGAGGTGCAGTGCAGTTGATTTTAAGTTGTCAATGGGAGAAAATACCTGGAGTTGGAGATAAACTTGGTGAAAGCAGTAATCTTCAAGCTGCAAACAAATTGATCCTGGTTTTGGTCACAGAATGTCCTTTCATCAGAGAAAATTGTAGCAAAACTTTTAAAACTAAACAAAATTGTGTGAAATGATTAGAAAAGCAGAATTTTTCTAGACAATGCAGAGAAATAAAATTTAAATTTAAAAAAAAATGTGGGTTCAAATAGAACTATATGTAGGTACACTTGAGCAGAAAATCTTATTTAATGATAGTCTTTTAATTTATCATAGGTTTTTTTGTCATCAAAATTTACCAATTCGAATTAAATTCACCAAAAAAGCATACATGTTTTTTCGTTAACTTGTACATACATTTGTGAATAATTAAAGAAAAACTGCAGTTTAAAAATCTCACTTCTTCAACAGAATTTTGTAGGTGGATATAAGTATTTTGATTTTGTAGAAGCAAGTTGGATAATGTGTAAACATGAATAGATTACGATGCTGAGAAAATAAGTCTATCTTTTATAGTAATAAACTATAATTTTAAGAAATTTAATTACCATTTCATTCAAGAGTATAAAGTTTGAACGCCTTGGAATTTGTGGAAGCTCAAAACCTGCAATATGAATAGTGACAAAAAGGGCTCAATTGTTGAGAAGCATTTGTTAAAAAAAAAAAACAAGAGAAAGAAAGAAAATTTAGAGGAACTCAACATTGGACCTCTAGGAATCACATAACTTTTCACAAAACACTCGGGTAACTTTACCAGTATTACACAAAAGAGACAAAAACAGAAGAATAATTCAATACCTCTGAATCTCAGATGGGAGGCCAGTAGATTCAAATGAATTGAATGGTGGAGGCACATTATCACCCTAGCAAACGATGTAAATCAGATGACTCTGAGCAAATAAAAAATTGATATCAGACATCCAGAGAACAGAACATCATTCAGGACAAAGTTGAGTTTGAAGTTCTTTGAACATCATTCAGAACAAATTCCCATGTTACCTTCATTTAGGACAAAAAATTTACAAAATTAAAGTTAGGTTTTTCATATTCTCTATTGGGTATCGAAAGTCGTGGGGAAAGATTGGAAACAACCAAACCAACATCCAATTTAGCACACACCTAAGAAAAACAGAAGCAAGAAACAAAACAATGAAAGATCGTAAAAGGTTCAATAATACTAAACTAAATTACAGTTGGATTTAAAGATGCATACTCAAGCAGCTCCCTATTGCTTTCAAATATGGCCAGGTCTTCTTCCTTGAGATTCAAGGATACTTCTATGCCATCTCCATCTCGTGTATCCATTAACACAATTAGATTCTTGAACTCCGTACCCAAAGTCACCCATGGTGGCTTTCCCCATCCAAAATTGGGTTCATAGAAAGGAAACCTGCATCAACTGCTGCAGCTATAAGTTTCTACATCACTCCTTATCATGAGATTCCAATAATCCTTGAAAAATTCCCATACATCATCCCCACCGATACCAATACCATATTTTATTTTAAATTCCCTTAAATATTCTAACACATTGATATGTATAAATTTTCACAGAATTAATGTAAAAATTACCCCTTTTTGGAGACCACAACCTCAAAAACCGCTACTTAACCCAGAAATTTAATCACAAAGAATTCTGCAAAACCTAAAAAAATTTACTAAACTGACATAAAACCAAACCCATAAATATAAGGGCACCATTCTACAAACCCACCAATTTAATGAAGAATTCTCCAAAACCCAGAACCCTCTGTCAAATGAAATGGTCAAAGCATGGAAAGTAGACTCAAGAAATCCAATCATCAAAAGCCATCAGAGGAAAGGTTGAAATATAGCTATAAAAACAGGTCCAACCAAGTAAAGTAATTCACTTGGTTAGTAAACGTAAAATTCTACAAAATCACTAAAAACTTGCTAAAATTCAATTATATTAAATCACAAATTTGAAGTTGATTTTGACATGCAATAGGTCTAAAAGGTACCTGAGGTGATAAGGCATGGTTTGACATCTTCTTCTTTCTTCACCTCTTTCTAAGTTGCTCTTTGCATAAACCACAGTAATTAAAAGAATAACCCAATTACGTTATATTAATCTGTAAATACAATTACAGGTCCACCAGAAAATTATACAACCCAAAATTAAACAACACCAAGATGAATTTAAGCAAAACCTAGATTAGATTCTAAGAGGGTTTATCAAAAATAATAATTTAATCAGAAATTAACACTGAAAATAAATAAAAAACCAAAAAAATTGAAATTTCATCGTTTCTTTTTACCTTTTAAGTTCCTGAGAGTGCTGGAAAGCTCTTGCTTTGCCATATTAGCTTTCTGGGCTTTTACCTCTAGATTCTAATTGAGAATTGAAAGCCCTGCGGGAGTAGAAGAGAAAGCAACCTCTAGCAACAGAGAAAGCAGTGAAGGTTTTTTAGCAAGAAAGTGTGGTTGGTAATTTTTTAGACAAAGATAGCAAGGTTGGAGAGGGAGAGAAGGTAGCTTTGGAGAGCTAAAGGATTCGAGGTTCAAGAGCGACAGAAGTAGGGAATTGTGACAGAGAAAAGTGGAACGGAGGGAAAAGTAGAGAAGAAAGGTCGAGAAGCAGTCAATGCGGAGCGATGAGCAACGCGTGGACAAACGGCATAATGGAGAAGAAACAGAGGGCATTTATGCCATTGAAAATGACAGAAGCTGAGGAGTGATCGACAGGTGGAGATGAAAGGCAAAGTCGTCTTTTTACTGTTAAAAAAACGAAAAAAAGACAGATAACAAATGAATTGGAGGGCATTTTCGTCCGTTTACTGTTCATGAACAGTAATTTGATGTTGAGTTTTAGTATATGTGTAATATGGTGCCACACATCCGCCCCCTATATATATAAGCATGTTTCATTCGCAAGCCATTCAGCTTACCTGAAAATTATCTGGAGGGAAGATGAATCATATTTACAACCAGACAAAAACCGTTCTACATCTTATGGAGCTGCAGTTTGAGGGATTCCTTGCAATAAAACCTGATAATAGCAAATGTCCATTTCCAGTGCTTTCAGAAAGATTTTGATCATGTGATAGCAAATTAACCAATTTTCTTGTGAAGGTGCATGCAAACATACTAAAACAAAAATTCACTATGTTGCCACATGGTAGTTCCAGTGATTCCATTTTCAAGAAGAAGCAACTCTACCCAGGTAATATTTATGTGTTATCCAGATAAAAAACCTACTTCAACTGTTTAGAGTGTCAAACTGCCTATGGCATATATTGCCTTACAGAAGAATTTAAATTCATTAGGTTCAGCCTCGAAAGCCAAATATTCATCAATCTTCTCTTACTACTTAGTCCATTCTACATAGCAAGCGATTTTGTTGATTGAAGAGTAACTCCAAACACGACCAATTTGATCAAACATTTCATTAAAAACAATACTAAGCATGCAATAGAAAACCCTAACTTACAGTTTTTGCATCATGGGGAGTAAGATTGTCCCACTACGATCGGTTAGCCAGTCATTCACAAACCTACCATCAGCACACTACAACACAAAATACGTGCGCAACAATTATATCCTATCAAGCATCCATGACATCATTACCCTCTCCAATTTATACAGGTTGCCCTTCCTGGAAATCACCCTAGCTGCATTATCAAAAGCTTGCAATCACTGGAATTGCATGACCCTAACAACCAAAATGCATACCCAAATCATCAACCAAACATTTTTGGAGCACCTACACAAATTTATCTATTGCATGGCATAACAAATTATCAATCTACTAGCAAATAAACAAAATAGAGAATACGCAATTTACATTCCCATCGGCATGAAGGCCCGATTTTAATCAACTTTGACATCCTCCAGGCTCAAATTACAACCCTCCAGCTTATTCACCACATCAGTCTTCAGCATATACCTCGAGATTCCAAGCAGCTTCCCATACACCAAACCTTAAAAATATCATATGCAACACATTGCCATTGACACATTTCATCATTGAATTTAAATACCCAAAACCCTGAACTGAAAATGGAAACGAAATCACAGCCATGCCCACGGCAGCCGATAGGTCAGTTTATAATACCTGTGGTTGGGGTTTGGAGAAAAGGTTCGATTGGTGAAGCATCATGCGGCTGATCAGACGGCAGGGAGTTCTGAGGCGGGTTTTCGGCTTTTGTTGAGAATCGTCTCCCCGGTTCGCCGAGAAGCATAGAGAGGCCGCGGTTCTGCGGCACGGCCCTACGTACGGCGAGGTTTGACGTGATTACGGCGCGGAGAAAACCGAGCTTCGACATTTTTGCTCTCTTTTGCTTTTTCTCGAGCTTTTGGACATTCACAGTGGTGCGGCGTCATTTTCTCTGCTCTACAGAGGACTAAGAGCAAGCCCAGTGTGGCTTTTAGCTCGGGGGACAGTGGACAGAACAAGGGCCCGAGGGCCAGGGGATCAGCTCCAACGGCATAGATTAATTAATTGAATAAAAATTTAAAAAAAATTGTAAAAAATTTAAAAAAAATTGTAAAAAATTTAAAAAAATTCAAAAAAAAAAATCTGAAAAAAATTGTAAAAAAAATTGTTTTTACTTTTCTATAAATACCTTCTCATTATCATCTACCTTACACAACAATTTCATATTTTCTCAACTACTTTCAATCACATTCCTTTCTTTGTCTCAAAGTTTGAATCCATTTTTTTTCAACAAAATGACCATTGGTGCAGGTATGAATTGGTCGCTTATTGAAGATGTTGCGTTGTGTACTAGCTGGGTTGAAGTTACTCATAGTTCGCTTACTGGTAATGAGATGCAGTTGCAAGAGATGTGGAGTCTTATTCATACCAATTTTCTTGAGAAAATTGGTGGGAAAAGAACCAAAGAATCGATGTCTAGTCGTTGGAAATTACTTAGCCAATCGTTTAGCACGTGGAGAGACGCCTTGGCACAAGCTAGTAGTAATATTCGAAGTGGGGAAAATTACTCAGATCAGGTAACAATATATTATTTATTTGATACCCAAATTTACATTATAATTATTTGTTTGTATTATTTATTTGTTACCTACATAATTTATTATTTATTGTTTGTATTATTTATTTGTTACCTACAAAATTTATTATTTATTGTTTGTATTATTTATTTGTTACCGTCATAATTTATTATTTATTGTTTGTATTATTTATTTGTTACCGTCATAATTTATTATTTATTGTTTGTATTATTTATTTGTTATTTATTATTTATTATTTATTATTTGTATTATTTATTTGTTACCTACATAATTTATTATTTATTGTTTGTATTATTTATTTGTTACCTACATAATTTATTATTTATTGTGACATCCCACATCGCTCAGGGGAGTGATCCTTATATGTATATTCTCATTCCTACCTAGCACGAGGCCTTTTGGGAGCTCACTGGCTTCGGGTTTCGTAGGAACTCCGAAGTTAAGCGAGAAGGGGGCTAGAGCAATCCCATGATGGGTGATCCACTGGGAAGTTGCTCGTGAGTTCCCAAAAACAAAACCGTGAGGGAATGGTAAGCCCAAAGCGGACAATATCGTGCTACGGTGATGGAGCGGGCCCGGGAAGTGATCCGCCCCGGGCCGGGATGTGACATTTATTGTTTGTATTATTTATTTGTTACCTACTTACATTATAATTATGTTGTTTTTATTATTTATTTGTTACTTATTTTCATTATAATTATTTATTTGTTACTTATTTTTATTATAATTATTTATTTGTATTATTTATTTGTTACTTATTATTTATTTGTATTATTTATTTGTTACTTATTTTCATTGTGTAGGAACTTCAAACACAAGCTTGGTACGCTGCCAAAACCAAAAGCAAAAATAAATCATTCAACCGGTGGGAATGTTGGAATATTGTCAAAGATTGTCCTAAATTTAGAGTTGTGCCAGTCGGTCCAGAAGTGCACATGAACAGCACCCCTCTACACTCTACACCCGATCATGTTCATGAAGATGATGCAGAAGAAGTGCCCAAAACGCCCCTCCCTGAACAAGCATCGAGTTCGACCCGTTATCCAATTAGGCCTCAAGGTAAGAAGGCTTCAAAGAGAAAAGGGAGTGCTTCCAAGAATGATTATGCAAAGTTCATGGAAGAACTTACTCGCCAAGGTGAATTGACTTTGGCGAGGGAATTGACGAAATATGAGGCTGATAAGGCTAGAGAGGACGTAAAAGCAGCAGCTGTTGAGAGAGAATTTCATGCTAATGAGAGAGAAAGAGAGCTACTTAGGCAAGAAAGAGAACATGTTAGAGAAGAAAGACGGGATCAACAAGATCGTGAGATTATGAACATGTCTTTAGAAGGGAAGTCTCCAAATTCTAAATTTTTTTGGAAGTCAGAGAAAGCGGACGTGGTGCGAAGGAGGCGTGCAAGAGAAGCGATAGCAAGCCAAGGTGGTTCTAGCACCGCAAGAGAAGATCATCCTAGCACCACAAATTGGTTAAGTGATGATGAATAGAGTACTTTTTGTAATCGGAGCCCATAATTTTCCAATCACTTTGGGTTGTAATTTATTATTTATTGTTTGTATTATTTATGTTGTTTCCAATTTATTGAATATTTATTCAAATTAATTTGGTAAGTTATTTATACTAAGAGAATATTTATTGAAATGACAAAAACACACCAAATAAAATTACATAAGCATACGGAATAATTAAAAACTCACTAAAAAAAATTACATAAACATACCAAATAATAAAACACACCAAATAAAATAACATGAACATACCAAATTCAAAAAAACACACTAAATGAACTTAATTATCTTCAGCTTGTTTCAATGCCCACTGGTGCTCTATCAAGTCAATTTGTCGGGCATTGTGCATGTCTGGCATTTGAAATGCAGTATATTGTTGAATAAGCCTTTCATTGTAACGTCCATCCCTTTGTAATGGCTCATGTTGCACGGGCTCATCGGTGGCGTCATAAGCACAATATATACATGTTCTTGAATTGTTCATTGGGTCTGGCTCATATTCATCAACGGCTTCATAATCGTACTCATCTTCTACAATCATGTTGTGAAGAATGATGCACGTCATCATGATGGATCGAAGCGACTCTACATCAAACAATCTGGTAGCACCCCTGACGATCGCCCAGCGAGCTTGGAGGATACCGAAACAACGCTCCATATCCTTCCTGCACCCCTCTTGACAGCTTGCAAAGTGTTTTTCCTTTGCACTCCGCGGACGTGGCACTGTTTTGACAAATGTTGACCATCGCGGGTAAATGTCGTCAGCTAGGTAGTATGGCCCGTCGTACATATGTCCGTTGACCTCATACGTAACTTTTGGTGCCTTTCCTTGCAGGACATCGTTGAACACTGGGGATTGGGCAAGGACGTTGATGTCATTTTGAGCTCCCGGGACCCCGAAAAAGGCGTGCCAAATCCATGTATCAAAAGATGCCACCGCCTCCAGAATAATACTTTTTGCTCCTTTTCTGTCCCCGTAAGCGCCTTGCCATGCACTTTGACAGTTTTTCCACGTCCAGTGCATACAATCAATGCTTCCAATCATCCCAGGAAAGCCACACATCTCCGCCTTCTTCATCAGCCGCTCCAAGTCCATGTGTGTAGGTTTGCGGAGGTACTCAACGGTGTAGATAGATTCGATTGCTCCGCAAAACCTCATCAGGGACTCAAGAATGGTTGATTTCCCCATCCTCGTTATCTCATCCACTTGGTCTGCAGATGCTCCATATGCAAGCATCCGCAAGGCAGCAGTAATTTTTTGCTCAGGCAGTAGACCCATAGCACCAAAAACATCTTTCTTTTGCACAAAATAAGAATCATGGTTGCAAACAGCAATCATGATTTTGTTGAACAAATGTCGTTCCATTCTAAAACGACGTCTAAAGTACGTATCAGGGAATGCACTATTAAGAACAAAATAATCATCCAAGAGTTCCAGACCTCGTCGTTGCCTGCTTCTATCAAGGTTTCGGGAACGGTTGGGCCTGCAGATCTGAGCCGCAGCTTGGATGACTCGACGGGAATGTGAGGTTCTGCCCATTCTTACTTCGTCATCTCTCCTTCTACGCTCCTCATCCTCTTCCCTTTCATTTTTTGCCCCCTGTTGATTGAACATTGCTTCTGATTGGTTAAACAATTCTTCCTCTTCCTAATCGAATTCCCACATCATCCTTGAGGAAGAAGAAGACATTGTAAGAAAGAAGCAGAATCTGTGAATAATGATATAGATTTTTGTGAAGAAGGAAGCAGAAACTATGAATAATGATAGAGATCTTGAGAAAATTGGTGTGAGATTTGTGAGGATGGATGGTGGATTATATAGAAGATTCAGAAAGGATTAGGTTGTACATAATTCCACGTGGCATGCTGTCATTCGTTAAAAATCTGATGGATATCTATCCTCAAAGATTGTGAACAGATTATGACACGTGGCATGTCGTCATTCGTTAAAAATCTGAGGGAAATCTATCCTCAAAGATTGTGAACAGATTATGACACGTGGCGCGACGTAATTAGTTAATAATCTTATCAGAAATCCATCACCAATAATTGTATTTTTGGATAATGACACGTGGCATAACGAGTACGATTAAAAAATTTATCGGAAATCCATCCCCAATAATTGTCTTTTCGGATTTTATGACAAGTGGCGTAACGACAAATATTAAAAATCTTATCCGAAATTACAAATAAAATTATTTTGTATTATTTAATAATACTTCGGATAATGACACGTGGCGCAATGAGAACGATTAAAAATCTTATCCGATATTACAATTAAAATTATTTTGTATTATTTTATAAATAAATAAAATACTAATATTTTATTGCCTATTGCCAGGGCTATTGAAGTGTAACGGTGGAGATGCAAATGCTATTGCCAGGGCTATTTACTGTTCATTAAGGGCAGTTACTGTTCATTAGGTGGATTGAATAGTGCATTGCCTGGGGGGAGGGCTCCAACGCTGGAGTTGCTCTAAGGGGAGAGGACGGTGATTGTCATTTTGAGAAAGTGGAATTCGAGAAATGCCCCGGAATTGTAGCGAAATTATAGATTATGCCCCTGCCCTATACATAGAGTGCTGCTTTTAGTTCATTAGGCTATCTCCAACCGATGGTTAGCTAGAAGGTTCGTTTTAGCCCCCTAGCCCTTCAAGATCCTTCAAGATATTAATATTTTAATGAACAGTACAGGGTCATATTTGCCTCTGTCTCCAACAGGGGTCAAAGGGCCAGATGGCTCATTTTAGCCCTGTCACAAAAAAACCGTCTCCAACCTAGGGCTATAGGGCCAACATAATTTATTATTTAAATTTAAAAACAACAAATTATATTTAAAAACTACAACTAAAAT